TTTTTTCTTTTATTACATCTCATTTTTGTGCAGTCACATGGTGAGACTCTCTGGGAGTAGCTTATGACATTGCTAGAAGACAGAATCTCCCAGTAAACTCCCTGATGCCCGCTCTTTGTAATCCATTTGTCTTCTCTTCCATGGTGTTTCCTGAGCCTTGGTTGTAACAGGGCTTTGTAGATGCATGCCTTGGGACTGTGCTCTGTGATCCTGTATTTTGATTGGTTGTTGCTTTCTGTAGTGGCCTTATGAGGGCTGATTCTCAGCATTCTCAGCCAGAGCACAAAAAAAAAAAGAAAGAAAGAAATATCTATCATATATTCCTCTGCTTGCCAGCTTGCCAACACACTTCTGCAGGGGCCTGCAGAAACTGATCAAATTCTTTGGAACAAAGGAAAAAAACAATACTGTATATTTTTCTTGAAGTTTCTGTATCTGTACACATATAAGGCATAGTACTGGTAAGAAGTGATGAGTGCAGAAGGGAATAAAACTGGAACAAAAAGAATGGCAGAGAGCAGCTGTACTCTCGCTGCACCCTGAAGACAAACGAAGAGCAATGCAGATGGAAAATTACATTTGATTCATGCCATTTAGCGTTGACCTAATGACACGGTCTAGTATGATGCACTGATGTAAAATTAATGTCAAGTCCAAATGAGCTTTTCATCTGGATGGTACTTACTAATGCACAGCATTTTAAAAAAAGAAGCCATTGGCAACACTTGGGAGAGATAATTCTGAAAGGAGAAGTAATTCATGTCATTTATTATAAGAGGCAAAATAAACCCTTGAGGGTTTCTGCATTTACTTTTCAAGAATAAGAGTAAGAGGGGAACAAAAGGTGGGCAGATTTCAATAGTTATCTCAGTTCACCTGGAACCAGAATAGTAAGTTGGTTTCTGTTGAGGCAAAATGAAACAGGATGGTTTTTTTTTTCTGATTTTTTTGTTTTGTTTTTTTGATAATATCCTTTTGTGTGATGTTAAAAACTTAACCAAACTAACTTAATGTCTTAAAATAAATGGTGAGTTATAACTTATATTAAAATTATTGACAATAGATGAGAGACAGTATCCATTCAGGACTGTACTACCAATACTCCACATAAAACCCAGAATCCGTCATCAGCTTTTCATTCAGATCAAGAAGAAATAAAAGAAGACACTTCTGTCAATTGTCATGAAGGGAAGCTTGCTCTGGCTTCTTGTCACTGTATTCCTGAACTTAAAAGATGCAGATACACCAAAACTGAAAAAACCCATAGTCCCTGAAATTATCCCCTGTGAGCTTTTCTTGAAACCACTAAAAGTATTAAAATTAGACAAACATTTTTTTAAATTTTGGAACTAATAAAGTTGTGTGTGTATATACTTTGATAAATAGCTTTTAACAGTCAATGTCCAAAATGAGTTTCAGATGTGTGATACAATGCCACACGAATGTGAAAGCATAAAGTCTTTGTTTGCCTAACCACAAATCACGGTTGTGCATCAAGAACATCTGCCACAAATGCAAACTCAGTGAAGCAGCTAGTCGGAATCCATATTGACTCTTTTATAGCCAGACTGGAGAGTGGATTCTAGGTTTTCTGTATGCAGCAATATTAAAGAGACAAATTTTTCTTCATCCAGTTACAAAACAGGGGAAATGCAGCCAGTATACAAAGTTAGAATTCAAGATCATGGCAGCAGTAGAAAGTTATAAGCCGCGTCATTTATTAATAAATTATTTTTATATTCAAGCAGCATAGTAATGTGCATTAGTTAATTCTTATATTTTATGTAACAGACAATCATCATTAGGTATTTTTGTTAATATTTTCTAATAATCGTGTACTGAATTAGAGTATTTATCCAACAATTCATACGTGTAATAAAAGATATTCCATTATGATATAGTAAGATAAA